GATCTGGTTTGTTTCTGCTTTGGTGGAAGTACACAATTGGAAGCCTGCTACCTCTGGGTCAAGTTAGGGCAGACTCTCTCTAGGTTCCTAATACAGACCCCAAAACGATATGTTACCTCCAGTTGTAATCTCCTTTGATGTAATCGTGCGGTCCGTAGACTGATAGCAAGCCAATGCAAATAGAAATCGTCCATGCGGCCACAATCATTACCTGAAATATCGCAAATGAAACATTGCAATTTTCTTAAAAGCTTACTAAAGGCTGTGGCATGTATGAGCGTGGCCAACTGGGCCACTGCGCGCCTCCATTGGCGAGAAATAAGGCGCACCAATGAAGAAGGAGCATCGGTACAAGCGACTCCGCCCATCCTCAGCAAACGCTTGTGCACCATTGCTTCAGATACAAAACGTCCTTTTCTCTAAATGCTTACCCAATGAAGCTTCGGCTTCCTGTTCTTCATCTGAGCAAGGAGGTAACCGACACCCAGGCCAATGAGGTAAGGTGGGCACCGAGTCCATGGTTTTTCGTAGAACACATCGAAGAATTCGGCAGTTTTCCTGAAGTGTTCACAACTTGAAGAAGTTGCTCGCAAAATCCTGGAGATTAACTCACGAGAATGCGAATGCTCCCATGGTCAAGGCTGGCAGATCGTCACGGAAAGTGATGAAGTAGGTGTAGGCCACACTTGCGGCGCAACATAAAACGAGCACCAAGACCCCTGTAAAAATAGAACGATTGAGATATGAGACAAAATGGACAAATGAATGAAAATAACCGCAAATGTTCCTGAAGAAAAAGCCGGATTAGTAGGAGCAAGGGACCCGTAACATGAGTTCGCCACAAACATCTCAAACCTTTCTCGCCGGGATGGACATCAGCCAACGAAGGTTGCCCCATTCCGAGATCTCCCAAGTTGTTCTGCTTGGAAAGTGGCCAATAATGATGTACGAATCCCCCTCCCCCACCCGAGGTCCCTCCTCTGGTGGACCCCTTCTCGAAGCGACGAGGAGATCTCCCATCTTCTCCTCCCCATATCGGTGGTAGTTCCTCAACAATTTGGAGGGCGCGCGTAAAACTGGAAGAATGAGCTGTATAGAAGATGTTCCGCAGGGCCCATTCGAATACCCCGTGTTGGGGATTCCCTACCATACGACATGCCTTGGCCCTTGATTTTGACTGGCTTTCTTACACCGGGGTCGGTAATGGATATTAAAGGGACAAGGGCACTGATAACCCACTAGTCATTGTAAAAACTCCCTATGTGAAACCAGATTTACTGTAACCTAAGGTTAAAGGGATAGCGTGCACCGGAGTTTGCGGAAAAGTTTCAAGTACTGTAGTTCTATTCGAACGTTTATCCCCAATTCAATTTTGCACAAATAATCATCGGTATATCCCCGCAAGCTGGATAGCGCCCGGTTT